GCGACACACATGTCCTTCGATTTGATATATTGATATTATCTATCACCGGACATATAGTGTAATATGTTGCGTGTACAGTTGAATGCAATTGTTATTGATTTTAGCCTTCATTACTTTGTTCTAGAATTTTTATACTTAATCTGAAATGAGCTTCAGTAACCTTCATCTCGTTTGTCTGTACGATTTTACGATTTGTCCAGACTGCAGCAATTATCTCCCACTCGTTCCTTTGCAAGCAGCCTATTTTTCTAAAACAGTGGTATCTTAGAGTGCCATTTTTTATAGGTTAGTACGTAAGCTGAAAGCAAGATGATCGCCTTAGAAGTCACATGCATCTTGTTACCTCTACCGATGATTTCATCCATGTGTGGTTAACTTTCATCTTCATATGACTAACAAATTTATGCTCCACACTCAATACGCATTTCACAGAGTCTCGAAAATGAGATATTAATCGATAGATTTATCAACGTAATCTAAGATGGAATCTCTGCCGCTCTCTGAGCTAATCACGCCTTCCACTTTTTTGGATACTAGTCTAAGCGAGGAGAATAACAACACTGACATGATATCGTCAATTTTTATTCACTGCCTACTATTTTTTTAATGGCAGGCTATTATGTGAAATATAAGCCGCCGGACCACTGCTGTTTGCGGTGGGGACCGACCTCGTTATTACTGTTTCCGCGGACTAATACCTTCAAAATATAACGGCTGAGAGAAAGGCGAAATGAAAGAATCAGTTGGTGTAATGGTCAACGCGTTAGCCTCCAAAAAGTGTAATAGCGCGTTCGGTCCCCACTGTAGACACGAGCTGACCGGAGCTTCGCAAATATCTCAGCATCATTACTGACATGCTGCTTCGGAAATAGGCTTTTCTTTAACCTCGGCAGTGGATAGTCAGTAGCTACAACTATCGTGTAAAAAGAAGCGCTAGTAACCTCATTCGAGCAGTGGTCAACTGAAGAAGATTCGATTCGGTGCGGCGACGAACCCACATTTCAAGGTCGAATGATTGTGGACTATCACTCGGATTATCGGCTCTGAGAAAGAAGAATAAGCCGAACGCAAGTCGAATTGACTTTCTTATCAACCCCGTTGTAGCTTGTCAAAGAAAGCACGCATATTAGCATGATGTTTCGCTAACCTACACCAAATCACTCTGTAGGTCAAATATGTATTCGATCACCTCTAAGATGGCACGATTGAAGTCGTATACATTGAGCATCCCCCAGGGCTTGATCTGCGCCAAACACCTTATATCATTTTCTACTAATCTAGGATAACGGTGCCTGTGTCGATATCTCATAATCGCTCTGCGAGTACTGCATTAACTGGTCGATATAATTGACGTGTTAAATACACGTTTAGTATGGTTACGAATGGGGATGTGGGAAACCCGAGCGCAGTTTCTCACGATCTTATTCTTCTGCACAATTTAACCTTCATGTTCACTGAGCAATCTATTCGCAAGGCAGACATATGATGTTCGATCTAGATCGAACGGTTTGCGTTAGAACTATGAACCTTTATGAGCCGAATTTTCTTCCCGTCTATGCCAGTCCTAGCGAAGATGTTAGCAAAATGAAGGCTTAATGGGAATTTGCTAGCAACGTGAGCAACTTTATTATTAACAGTAATACGGCACTAAACAGCTTTAAAACGAAATCGTTGCTTCTGAAACACCTTATCCAATTGACGGGGCAAGAGATCAATGGGGTAGCTTTTTTGAGGTGCATTACAATGGCAATAAGATAGCAATCTTTTCACGCTCTTTTAAAACTTTAAGTTTGCACGTTGTATATTTATCATTAATCCTTTTTCTGTAATTGACTAACTTCCTAACGGTTTTGTGCCTCATCGCGGGTGCGAAGTGTTCCTGGGTGTCGGGCTATGATGTACAGCGGAGGGTTCATCTCCAAGGCAGGGTCTCCTAAGACGAAGAAGAGCCTGGCATTTTTATCAGAAAACCCTTGCTAAGAGTAAGCCAATACGAGAATCCACCACCGTCATGGTATATCAAACTAGTTGCATGTTGGCAAATCTCGCTCAGATTCACAAAGGCTGCAACTTCCTCTGGTGGTGAAGACCTGGGGCGGATTTTGGTCAGACTGACCTCGGAATTCCAGGAAACTACAATGGCTTAGCCAGCAAATCTCTGAAAAATAGGGAATATTCTGGGGCCCGCACAACCAATGAGGGCGGTTCATTCACGTGCCAAGTATCAAGTATAACTGACTAAAGTTTCAACCACTGTTCTTAATATAGACTAAATGACAGCTCTCGTGAACATCTAATTAGACCAACAAGCGATTTGACCGATCGTTGCAAAGAATGTGGTTAAGCAACTGGGTAAGTATACTTCACATTCCAGCTCACCTCACAAACACCCAAATGTTCCTAGAACGTCCACGTAACGCGTACGTGATGGAATCTTTCGACGTTACCGCACTGTACACCAACGTATCGAATGACTCCGCAATGCAAGCCATCTTCGAACTTCTTGTTGAACATGAAGGAAGAATAAATATGCATGGCTTGTCCATCCAGCAGCTAATGGCTCTCTTAAAGGAGTGCCTAAACTGCTCGATTTTCAGAAGGTCTGGGAAATATTTCGCGCAAATAAGGGGGCTGGCAATGGGACAGCGATTGGCACCAAGCCTTGCCATTGTAATCATGTCTAAGATAGAAGCCCCTGTTCTCGATCTCCGGCCACTACTCTACTGCAGATATGTAGACGATTGTTTTGTCGTCTTCTCTACGCAGGAGGAGATGGACAAATGCTTTGAATTATTGAACGAGCAGTCCGAGTACATAAAGTTCACCCGGAAGAAACCGAGAAAAAACTGGCTTCCGTTTTTGGACGTTCAAATAAACCTATCAAGTAGCGGTTACCTGACAAAGTGGTATCGAAAGCCAAGTAACAAGAACATCCTTGTTCATTTCCTTTCTTCCCACCCTTCACACATAAAGAGGGCGATTGTGAGAAACATGTTTCGAACAGCCACCTCTGTATGCACTACCAGGAAATTAAAGGAAGAATCGCACGACTTGGCCCTGCAAATAGCCATCTCCAATGGCTACGAAATAGTAGCCCCACGAGATAAATTTAGGAGAGCGACGCGCCCACGCGAAACACTTGGCCAAAAGAAAATCCCGTTTATGTCGCCTTTTATAAGCGATGAAGTAAGAGTAGCTATAAAGCGATGCTTAAGAATGGCGGATCTCGAGGAATCGGTAGCGATAGTTGAAATACCACCGGCTACTCTATGTCGTCAATTAGTTTGTAACCGCCTTTATGACCGTCTATGTGAAACAATAAGTGGCGTAATTTGCCCTTATGGCAGGGACGGTGATTGCATGAGTTCAGGTACGATATACCTGATCTCGTGTAACAACTGCGGAGACGAATATATTGGCGAAACGGGCAGGCCTTTGTGTATCCGTATAAAAGAACAACTAGAAGGCAAACGAAAACTAAGACGAAGCACCCTAGGCATTCATAGGATACAAAAGCATAGCGGAGACGATTTTGAAGTAAAAGTTAATATCTTCGTACAGAAGACTAAAACACCAGTGCGAAAACTTCTTGAGGCTTTTTGGATAAATGCCAAAACCCCTACAATGAATAGCAGAGGTGAAGGCCCAGAGGTCATACGTGACCTAACCCCGCATGTTCGCATCAATTTCTAATGTGGGATGGTGCAGTCATCAACGATATGCGACTATAATCAGCTTTTCTAAACAAAGCGGTGAGTTTTTTCGAGAAGCTGTTGATCATGTAATTACCATAAAATTTTTCGTCTTTTTGTAAGTGTCATTGAAGCGTTTGGCCGAGTAGACTGTATATCAGCATACCCTTCCAGGCTCTGAAGAAGTCGATACTGCCGAAACGTCAGCTAGCGTTGTATTGTGTTATGTTTCTCTATGGAAGTAAATATATGCTATTTGAAAACCTCGCGATTGCTGAACAAGAAAACGACGTAATCAATATGTATTCTTTCTTTGATGAGCTTACACGAGGTTGATAATGACATTTATTTTCGGCTAACGTTTCGACGTCTTCGTTTTCCTCAGAGCCGATGATCCGAGTCCATGCTCTACGCTTGCTATTCGTCTCAGTAAAAACAAGCTATTACCACACTATCACCGGACAATTACAGCTATCCACCGTCAGCAACCTGCATAAAACGGTATCACTGAGTGAGGATGCCTCATTCGAGGAGATGGCTCACTGAGAAAGACCTGACTCGACACAAAGGCGAAGCTGACATCGAGACGAATAACAAGCGTGGACCATCGACTCGGATCATCGGCTCTGAGGATGACGAAGACTTCGAAACGTTAGCCAAAAATAAATATTATTATCAACCTCGTGTAAGCTCATCAAGGGAAGAATACATATAGATGCTGAGATATTTGCAAAACTCCGGGCCGCAGATTTCTGCGGTAGAGAACAAACGCGCTATTGTTCTTCCCGGGAAGTAACGCGTTCGTCACCACACCATGCGGGTCCTTCGTTTCGCTTTTCTTTCAGCTAGTTAGTTCTATAGATCTTTGTCATCAGCAATCACCCGTCAGCGGGATTAGCTGGTGTGGTGGGGAACGCGTTACTCTCCGGAAAGGACAATATCGCGTTCGTTCCCCACCGCAGTCACCTGCTGTCCGGAGTTTTGCACATATCTCAGCATCATTGAAGTTATATTTCGCAATACATTAAAAAAGAATAGACAGTAAATAACAGGTCAAAATTGTCTACTAATAGCAGATCGTGTTGTCGACGTGTTTTGAAACAAATTCGAACATATTTTATTAATCTTCTTCGAAAATATGTATATTGACGCCAGTAAAAACCACATTCTCCGCTCTTTGCTTTGATAATCATAGAGGTAAATAACCTCGAATGAAATATACATGATTATGACGATTCATAGGTGCAGATAAGAAGTGAAAGACATGTTACTGTTGGGCAATTTATTGAATGTGTCAGTTCATTACTGTTATGGTTGACCAGCACCACGCTTGTCATCGCCCTGAAGAATCTGGCAGATTCGCTCGACATGTCTCATTTCATCGACCAAGTCAAGTTGACGAGCTTCAATATCTGTTAAGAGGTTCCTTGTCTGAAAGAAAACGTATAAGAAGGAGATTAAAAAAGAAGGCTACACAGTATCCCATAATGGACCACAGATACAAAATTGCGTGAGGAAACCTCAAGAAAGCATTCAGGAAGGCTAGGACAAAGATCTAAATAGAAAATAATACAGGAGAAGTGCTTCGCTAGCTAATCTGTTTGGTTTCTGACACTTTCATGACAAAAACCTAACATGCAACGAGAGCAAAGTGGACTATCACAATTATCCAATACAAAATCCACCGCCGTTCAGTCGTCTCTCATCAAGCTTAAAAACTCCGAAAGCAAACTAAAAAGAAGTAGTCTTACATGTAAATCGAATAAGAACTCTAATCTTAAAAGCGCTCATGATAATCATTCTATAGAAAGGTTTTTCAAAATTTAAAACATACATTAGTTAGCGGTTTGAAAATCCACCTATTTTAAAGCTGATATGACTGATTAACATTCCTGTGTAGCTCAATGGATAGTGGTGCCTGTAGTACACACGTGATCATCGGTTAGATTACAAGGTAAGCGAATTTCCTATTCCGTCGGGGTACGCCGATTGATAACAGCATGATCTAGGCGGATAAAAGGAACACTGTCTTGATAGAACGGTAGGCCGCCGTAAGTCAAAGCCAACTATTGGTCCGATCACTTTGTCGCTAATGGTCAGCGTCAAACGCTTTATACCTTATGAATGATTAAAAAAAACCGCGCATAAATCATGATATGAAGTCATTCCTTTCACGATTACCGTGATGAGCCGAGATCTACTCACATTTGTTAGTTCCATTTCGATTCGTTCCAAATAATTGCATAATGGTGTCATGATCATTAGTATGGCGGTACGGTTAATATCCTTCAAAGGAGGATTTGATTTATCAAAACGCTTGGAACTCTCTCCTCCAAATAATTTCGTCAAGCAAAAAAAACATGGTTGAAATGAAGAGTGGTTCACTCAGTTATGAAAGTACAGATGTTTTTACCCCTTCCCGAATCGATTTCAGTTGAAGATCCAGCTCCCTCATTAAATATCTCTCTTCAGCTTCACGCACTGCTCGCACGTCGTCATTGATCTGTATATTCAAAGAAAAAGTATGCCAAAAAGAAATTTGTTGCCATGATAAACAAAAATCTGCTGTTGAAGAATCTAAACAGATGCTGCTACCACGCAGTATTTTTTAAGTGAGTTTTTTTAAGTGAGTTTGAGTTTAAGTGAGTTTTTTAAGTGAGTTAAGTTTTTTTTAATGAGTTTTAAGTGAGTGAGTTTAAGTTTCATTCGGCGTACAAGAACTCTTCACCTAATCATTCTTTTCTCAGATGCTACTCATTCAGCTCCTTATGCGAGCACTTCACCTAGGGCCAAAAATTTGAAGACGATCATGAGAATCTTGATCGAAAGAGTAACCTGCTGAGGATATGGCTCATTCATCTTCAAGTGCTTTTTTACAGCTTATTTTTCACGACTTTTGCTTTCCTACGTCTCAACTCTGCCTAATTTTCTGTAACCTTTTGATTTCACCTTGGTTCCCAGTGTTCAACCTCTATTCCATCCTAAGTTGACCTCTGTTTTCTTCCCCATGTATACGCTTGTCAGCAGAAAGTCTGCTTTCTCACCGTTTTATTCCCTGAAGGGAGACGTCGTTTTTTAGCTTACTATGTTATCCCACTATGAAACCTCCAATGTCACAATGCGAGATGAGTTCAAAACGCGCATTATGCAGCTGTTAGAGTTTACCATGCAAAACACACGAAGTCCTTGGCTCGATCTATCGCCACGAGTTCACCACGCCGTATATCCAGGGTTGGTAAATGAGGACGATAATGATCTTGGACAATAACAGCTCACACTTGACACGTCGGTGGACCAGTGGTAGTCATTTTGTAGGCCTAATATGCATTCGGTCACATTTGACAATGCTGGTGAAGTGCATTGTGCATCCTTAGAGATTGGTCAACGCCAAAAGCTTTATCCTTTATATTTGTTTAGTTACAGCTTAGGTTAGTAGAATAAAGAGGCAAAAAACTGCACCATTTGTTCAAATCTAAAGGTGGACCCAGTATTGCCGAAATTCCTCGTAATACTATACTGACGCTTCAACTATCCACTGAACCGTGAACGTAATGGAGACGAGAATCTTAGCCATCAACGAAGTGTAAGACTACTACTACTACTACTACTACTACTACTACTACTACTACTACTACTGCTGCTACTATACTGCTTAGAGCTTCAAAATCCGCACAGAACTTTCTGAGGACTAACAAAAGGGTTGAGCGTGGTCCAGTAAAACAAGTCTCACGTCGAATTGGAAAGTCAAAAAAATCAGCAACTAAGTTTCGAAATGAAAGTTATAGTAATGAGGTCGGTTCTTCCCATCAACAGTTTACCGGCTCATTGTGGCTGGGAGGTGTTCCTGGGTGTCCGACCGCAATGTACAGCGGCAGGATTTATCCCCACAGCAGGGTTTCCTATGCTGAGAAGGAAACCGGCTTTTCCATCAGGAAGCCCAGCTAAGAATAAACCAGTTCCAGGATCCATTACCGTCATGGTATCAAGGTCGCATGGTGGCAAATCCCTATCTGATCTACAAGGGCTGTGACCGCCTGTGGTGATGAAGACCTGGGGCAGACTTTGCTCAGGCTAACCTCGGGATTTCAGAGAACCACGATGACTAAACCAGCAAAACTCCGAAAAATGGGAATTATGCTGCAATCCGCAATCAGTGAAGAAGGGCCATCCATGTATCCAGTCAAGCATGTATGAAGTCGGTTACATGTTTTTTGTGCAACAAAATAACCCGTTCTTTTTTGCAGTGTTAAATCTACCTAAAAGTGGATTTTGTGCAACAACTAGTTTCAATGCATTGTTTGGACAAAGAATAGATGGAACTGCCAACCATCTCTTGATGAACCTCTATTAAATTGTTACAGCAAAAAATATTGTCAACAATCAGATAAATACCCCTAAGACGTTCAGCATGGACAACTGGTATTGGTAAATGTTTTAAGATACCACAATACCTGCTGTCATCCTTTTATAAGTGATGGCTAAAGAGCTAAGCGTGTACCAAACCGTGCATAATTGTCCACGTATAAGACATAAATCAATTTTGGTGTGTTCCTCTTTTGTTAATTAGCTGATGTCTAAGTAAACGGTGCACGGTCTGGTGTATTCGCCAAACTCATTACCAAGGCCTTAGTTTTTTCCTCAAGTATCTGAACAACATCTTCGACAAGATGACATTCACCGTTCAAAAAGCACTGGCTTTCCAAAACTTTTCAGTCATCTAGAAATCCAAGCTTTCACAAACGTGACTTATGACATTTAGAGAGGGGTGCTCGTTGCGATATTTCTCTACTTTTTAAAGATATATAGTGTTAAAAGCGTTTTAACATTTTGAACTTTTCGCGCCTAAATGGTGATTTCTTATTGAATAATCATTATTCCTCCTAACGGTTTACAGCCACATCTTGGCTGGGAGGTCTTCCTGGGTGCGATTTGCAGTGGATTCGTCCCCTCGGCAAAGTCTCCCAAGCTGATAAGGAGTATGGCGTTTCCATCAAGAAATCCTAGCTAAGAATAAACCAGGATGTCGTGGTGACGATGTGGGACATACTTTGGCCAGGCTGTCCTCGGGATTCCAGGGAACCACAATGGCTTAACCAGGAAATCTCCGAAAAATGGTAATTATGCTGGGGCCCGCACAACTAGTGATGACGGACCATTCTGTATCAAGTATCAAGTATAATCATTGTTAGGGTAACGCAACGCAGTTGTAGGGATGGTGTCCGTTATAAGCACGGCATTTGTTCAACGCCTCTCCGTCTATGTATGCTTAACAGTTGAAGATGATGCTCACCACTATAAACGGTGTTTCCTGCACGGCGTTTCCAATTAAAGCCAATCCATTTACTTGACGAGTAGCAAAGTCTAAAAGAGAAAAAAAAAATGGGATATCAACCTCACCTCCGAGGTTAAAACATCTATGTAAGATTGGAGTTTGGGTCAATTAATAGTCATCACCTTTCATTCGTTTTAAGGCTTCCACTTCATTTTGATCGTATTCAATTGCTGTGTCTGGAGAGTCGGAACGAATTCTGTAAAATCGACACATCGTTGAAAAACAGCCATCTTATTCTGTTATTACTAGAAAAAATCATAAATAGCGCTTGTTACAACCACAACGTTGCTGAGATATTTGCAAAAATCTGGACCGCAGGTGTCTATGGTGGGGAACGAAAGCGCTATTGTCCTTTCCGGGGATTAACGCGTTCACCATCACCCCATGCGGGTCCTTTGTTTCGCCTGTCTCTCAGCTATTTCTATCGATCTTTGCCACAGCAATCACCCGTCAGCGGGATTGATCTGGGGCGCTCAAATCGGAATAGAGCCCAGTTAAGCTGCGGCTGTAGTTGAAATCACAATGTTATACCTTTTTATGGGTGATTGCTGTGGCAAAGATCGATAGAAACAGCTGAAAGACAGGCGAAACAAAGGACCCGCATGGTGTGGTGGTGAACGCGTTACTCCCCGGAAAGGACAATAGCGCGTTCGTTCCCCACCATAGACAACTGCGGTCCATAGTTTTGCAAATATCTCAGCAACGTTGTGGTTGTATTTCGCTTAGTACACTGCCGCGAAATTATAGTAGGCAGAAAATAAAAGGTATAACATAGTGCTTGTTACGTTGAATAAAGGGCGTGTGTGAATAAAGGTCAGTTGCGCCCTGCAACACACGTGGGATCAATTCCTGCGCCCATGGCCCACAAAGCCTTTCATCTATTCAGGATCGACAAATTAGTACCAGACTTATCTGGGAGGATAGCAACATTGGCTCGATGCATCGATGGGGCACCTCGAATCATTGTAACGGCCAAATATGCATTCAATTACCTCCAAACGATGCTTTCGAATGCATGACGCATCCTTCAGAGATTGATAAGCGCGGAGAGCTTTATCCTTTACGTTGAATAAGCTTGAGGCGCAGCCCGCTATTCGTCTAAGAACTACTTAGCTTACGCGGTTGTTTAGAGTAACGAATTCCACGAACAACAAGTTGACACATTTATTTATCCTTTTATTTTATTTGAATTATCAATGTGCTCGTGATGAACCTGTGCTGTGCTATCCGCCACTCACTGTCAAACAGCTAGTATTGAGAGCGAGCCACGGTAAGAGTGAATGGAAGCTGTTACAACGAAATCTTAGCTCGTTACTCTTCATACACAAGCTATTCATATAACTACTAAAATGATGCTAAGATATTTGCAAAACTCTCACCTCAAACCAGATTTGAACACGTGATTAGTCTTTTAAGGGCTCATGTGTTACCCACTCCACCACCTACGCCCTTGCTTAGCCCTCCTCTCAGCCTGCTTTTTTTACCCTGACGGCCATCAGTAATCACCCGTCAACGGGAATGATCTAGGAAACAAAAGTCGGCATTGAACCCAGTTAAGGTGAGACTGCAGTCGAAAACATAATGTTCACTTCCCATCTTTTTATTTCTTGCCTTCGAAACCATGATCATCCATTTGAGGGGCTCACGTCTTAGCAAAGCAAAGTCCTCAGTGTGTGCTGGGTAACACCTGTGCTCCCGAAAGGGTAATCGCGAGTTCGATTCTGGCCTCAGATCCGAGTTTTGCAAATGTCTTAGCATCATTGTGATTGTATTTCACATAACACCCTGCTATGAAGGAAATAGTAGGCAGTAAATAAAAAGTTAAACATTATCCATATAACAGCCTCTTCTCTATGTTGTGTTTCAACAGTTTTGGTGAGTAGGTATTTATAAATTCGTCTTTTCTTCTTTCTCTAAACAACGGTTTCCAATGCAGCAACAAAAAGCGATTCGGAAAGGCAACTCTCGAGGAATCAACTTTTTATCGAAATGTTTTCATTCATTCATTTCGTCGTCATGGTTAACTCTGGATACTATCATCACATAGTTGATTGGGAGCCGAAGCGGCCATGAATATATCCATTTCGCAACAGATTATTTATTTTCTGTTCCTAACGTTTCCAATGCAACGAAAGAGAAAACATGACGGATGATGAATAAGCTGTTCCTAAGGGCTATTCCGCGTTGTAGAGCCGTCTGTCTTCAGAACGCATCCATGCTCACCACAGTGATAGTTATGAGGTGCTCGTTAACACACCGAGAAACATAAAAGTAAAAAACAGTCAAACCACTCTAATTTTTACCCGATGGTTTTCCTGTTTAATTTTTTCCTCATAAGTAGTTTTTTAAATGAGGAAGACCTTAAAATGTGCTCGTACTACTTGTTACTTGTTACTTGTTACTTGAACGGCCCGTCATCACTAATTGATCGGACATAATCACCATTTTTCGGAGATTTGCTAGTTAAGCCATTGTGGTTCTCTAAAATCCCAAGGACAGCCTGGCCAAAGTCTGCCCTAGGTCGTCACCACGACAGGCAGTCGCAGCCCTTGGTCAGAGGGAGATCTACCACCATGCCACTTTGATAGCTCGTGCTACGGTTAAACATATTCGTGAAGATACAGAAGAGAAAAACTAATGATCTTCAAACTTTCTAAACATGATAGTTTATTTGATGACAGGACTACTTCCATAATATAACCACATCTTTTTTCATTGCAAACCATCTTCATTTCAACACCTTGGAATTGTTAAGGGTTGTTTTACTCATGACCTAGAACGAAAGGGTTGGGATAAATTTTGGTTAGGACTAAAACGATCAAGAATAAAGCTCTTGGTGTTGGTCAATCCTTGAGTGATGCGCCATGCATTAGACTTCATCGAGCATTGTTGGAGGTGATTGAGTGCATATCCAGCGTTTAAAATGGCACGCGATGACCTACCGATGTATCGAGTCAGTGCTGCTATCCTCCTAGGTAGGTTTGGTACCAATTAGCTAAACCTGGAGGGATGGAAGGCTTGGTGAGCCTAGGAAGCGCGATCGAATCCGTGTGTATTTTAGAACTCTAACCGCTGCGCTACATGACCATTCATCTTGACTAAGGCAGCGTAATGTTATTTCTCGTAAATTCAAAGGCCGCAATGGAAAGGCGAAGCAGTTAGGTTAGATGAGTTATTTAGGGGTCGTAAAACTTTCCGCTAAATAGAAATCTCATAAATGGATAAATAGCCAAACACTCCGCTAATATTCGCGCCATTTGTAAAACAGACAAAGTTAAAGGTTGGAAATATTATTAAGTCACTCACCTAGCAAGACCTCGGCGCACATTTCTAGCCACTGGTAGATTTACTGGTCGAATTGGTGCCGGAGCAGGAAATATCGGCATAAGACCACGCAATACAGGAACTTCGGGATCGTCCGCACCATCTGGAGCGTTCCAGTGACGCCGCTGCATTCTTCTTATTGACGCCGGTCACGTTGAAATGAGGGGATTAGAGTATCCACTTTGTGGGAATGGAGTTATAGCAATACTAGTAGTGCAAACACCGCCACGTCGGTAAGTTGTGAAATGAACCTCACGGGTGAGATCGCCTGTAATGGTATTATTGTTTTCTCAGATAACTAGTGGAAATATCTATCATCCCTATCTGCTAATTTACAACTTTGTCGCAAATAGTTTTACCATTTCCCAAGACTAAGACTAAGTTAGTTGGTGGATAGCAGTCGCACAGAGTTATACATGGGCGTGGACTGTGCCTGTGTTAGGTCATTGGATTAGCCTGAGGTATGGCGCTAGGTCACTCGTGATGACAAGACACTCCTCCTTGCGGTTCATTTTTAAATTCTTGAAATTGATTCAAAACGCTTCAAGAGTTTTACGCGTTGATGTTTTCGATTCCTACGTGAGGATAATGACTTCAATGCTTAAAAATCTTCTCCGTTGTGTTTCTGCGCCCTCTGCGCGCCAAGCGGAGTGTTTTGTTGTAATTTAGATTTACCGACTAGGTGTTCTTTTATGCGGACGCAGAGCGGTCTACCCGTTACGCCAACGTATTCGTCCCCGCACGCTTTACAAGAGATCAGATAGACTGTACCCGAACTCATGCAATCACCGTCTCTACCATCAGGGCAAATGACCTGACACAGGCACAGCCTCGCCATGTGTTACTCTGTGCGACTGCTATCCACCAGCTAACTTAAATACTTACAACGAATAAACGGTAGGTGTTTAAATAAAACTGCTTCTTATGAGAACGCAAATTCATTTGTTAAGTTTTATCTGCTGGTGTTACGAAAGTGTTTGGCCGAGTAGATCGCATCTCAATTTGACCTTTCCAGGCTCTGAAGAAGGCGAAACCACCGGAACGTCAGCTATTGTATCCTAATAAATTCTATAATAACAACCTCGTGTCTGCTTATTGAAGAAAAACATTGAGTTTTACCACCTTCGTCGCGATATGTGTCGTGGTCGGAATAAAATACCCTCTAAGGAAGAAGCAAAATGTGATGAAAGAAGAGGTTTAGGTAAAGGAGAAAAGGAGCTTAGGCTATGGTAACCTCTAAGAAATATCGTTTATTGACTATTCGTGTGTTGGCTAACCATCAAAGCACTGGAGCTGAGTAAAAACAATATATGGCCAATCAGCTGAACGCGATGGCTTTTTGAAAGTCTGAAGAACCCGCTCAGTTCTGAAAATCCGTTGATGGTATTGTCTTCTCCCCATTTTGTGCTTACAATCTCTGCCTACTTCGACACTGTCGACTCAGTTGGGTTTTACTAATGAAAGCAAACTACAGCTATTTTGAAAAACAAACAGCAAAGCCATTATTACACCTACCATCAGTGGTTTTCCAGCAACCTACAATACTTGTTTAATATCATTTTCTAATGGCGCTAGAGGCGGACTCGTTAGGGCAATTCATCACTATTCCTTGAGCCACTGTTTCCGGAATCCCATTCGATTTCTGCAACATCTGCTAATGCTTCCTTATGATGGTTGTTTGTGTTAAAATGAGCTTGGACATGAAAGTCCATTGTTTTTGACAGCGAACGACTCTTTCGTTTTTGCAGCCTTTTCAATCATGGAGTAACTAAAGCGTAGCGCAGTGAAAATCCTCGTTCATCTTCGCTCATATCACAACTTCTCCACTTATTCAAATAAAACTAGCATGCACACGTTTTTCGTAAAGGCTCTTACCACTCTTAACGATGAAGTAGTGATTAAGCTCTTTCACAGGTAACTTGTGGGCAGAATGGACGTCGTATTGTGAATCGAACTTCATCATCCAAGAACACCTCAGCAACGATGAGGTGGTGAACCATTACTGAGATGTACCTTCTAGTATCAACTATGCTGGTACCCAATATTTTCGATGAACCATGTGGCTGTTCATTTTCATTCTTTGGTAATTCCAAAATTTCAACTCAGAATTTGAAACACCAAACACCTCTTGTCCCTGTCACGCAGAGATTCTGCTCAGTGGGTTCTTCTGCTCGTTAGGAAAAACGATGAGCATCCCAATTCTTTCATACTGTTAATACATTCTTAGGAACTGATCTTGTTGAGCTGATGCGAAGTCGGTTCAAACTGTCGTGGCCGTCGTTGTTGTCGGTCGATGGCTGACGTTTCGGCGATTTCACCTTCTTCAAAGCCTGGATGTATTTTATACAAGAATAGCTTAATAATTGGGTGAAAAAAACAAAGTATCAACGAAGATCTGATAGATAAATGAACGCTATATTGATCAATAACTACTCATCGTGTTGTCATGAGTGTGACTGCCCACTAGTTGTTAACGTGGGACAACGAGCGAGACCAACCCAGGTCAAAAAATCGTTTTGAAATAAGCCCTTGATCTTGATAAGTGGTCTTAAAACTTATGTGGTGATTATTAACCTCTCACCCAATAACGTAGCCCGTCAGCTAGTTCGCAAGCGCCTGTGTGATCGTTGCTGCTTTTTTTTTGTTTCTGGAAACAGCAATACCACAGAAAGTACAGAGCTCTTTCCTATACAGCTGCTTAAAACCCTCAGAAACCACTGTTGCAAACAACAGCAGTTGTTCTCCACTTTATGGTTAATGAATGTTTCCTCCAGTAGAGGACGTGAAACGCAAGAGTTTTAATTTGTGTTCTTTTTCAAATTTTTTCAACAAAGGAGAAGTGTAGATATTGTGCAACACTGGCGAGCTACTGCGTCGAAGCATTTTTTTATGAGGGTTTAAACCAGATGGGAACCTCTGCATTTGACTAATCAAACATGACCACGAGGATGTTGAAATATGGACAAAACTCGGAACCTTCGATGCGCTTCGAAGACAAACGTACCTCGGGACCCATGTGGTTGAATTTCACATAAGACCGTGCCTTAAAAAAGATTAGGCACTAAACAAAAGTTAAAGTGTTGTAATCAAATACGCCCAAATGTTGTGTTGGACGGATTCCGGCCCCAGAGCTTTCTGTCTTCTGCAAGTGACATGCAAAAATCAGTGATTTTCTTCATTATGCCCATTTAACACCAATTGGAAAAATCTGACTAAAACCACGCCAACAAATAAAAAAATTATAAAAGATCTACCAGCAGCGCCAGTGATACATAATGTACTGTGAGCTAGAAAAAAATCCTATTATAATTTGTGTAAAAATTAGCTATCACTTTCATAAGGGAGTTGCTTCTTCCTTTCAAAAAGGACTTTTTTCAGATCATCAACCAGGAGCGGTTATAGACTTGTATGAATCTGGAAAAGGTTCTACCACCCTTTGACTATGTCTCTTCTAGGACGGTAGGTGTGCTCACTTTGGTTTACTTTTAGAAGGGTCGCTATTTTCTGCTGAAAATGATTTCTCCGTGGTTCAGGTGAACCTACTGTAGGAATGGATACCGTAAGGCGGAGTTCGAAAGCTAGGAATACCTCATTGTTAAAAGGCGGTGTAATGTCATGACAAAACCATCCATTCAGATTATGGATATTGAAAATTTCAAAGGTTGTCTCAATGAAGCGGCGCTCTACCGAAGAAGATTCGCCTTAACACGACAACGAAGACCCCATTTCGAGAGTACCAAAAAGTGCGGACCATCGACACGGTCTGAGGAAGACGAAGATGTCGAAACTCTAACTGAATAAAAGATCTATACCTCGTATCTGTTTACTAAGAAAAGACTGCGAATTTGATTCTTTCTTTTCTAAAAATTCAGTACCTTTTTTCTCTTTTTAGGAAAACTTTAAAAAGCCGTACTAATCATGGAGACCAGATAGGAAGGAGGACAAGCGAATTAACAGATCTCGTGGAAGAGATGAATGAAGAAATGCTTGTGGTAGAGCCACAAGGTTTTGTATGAGAGGAAAATTTACTTTTCGTACAGCTACAAGATTTTTCACAAGGTTTTCTAATTCTCAAATGAAAAATCACCTCACTGGAGCTGCTGAAATATTTACAACTATTGCTGAGTAGATATTCTGTATCAAAGTGCAATAAAGTAAGTTAGCACTGTTCAAACCCACCCTTCCGCCAAACCATATCTCATTTTTTTAGCAGCTAACTGAACCGTTACTAATTTTTCGAACCCTTCCTTTTGCCACAATCCATTCCTAGCTTTCCATGTAGGTCAGACAATTGATAAGGTACATAAAACACTAAAATGTCCAGCAGATTCTTCCCACTTGCTACTACGTTTTAGCCACGTTCACATGCACTTTCCTAGCGAGCTGCCAGGTCTTACTTTCTAAAACTTTTGTATATATGGACATGTTGTGCAGTTATATCACTTTTTCTACTCTGTTCGTTCCCTCGAATCCATCGTATTCTGAGACGGCTCCACTAGAGCATTCTTACGTTTTCGTCAAAAGTATATCTGCGATTGTGCTTCCTGGAAACCTTTCCTGGAGAAAGGCGAATCAATTTTCCAAACCATAAGAGATGGGGGTTGACTGACTCCGGATAACGTTGAACCAACTATGTCTGTGTTTCTATTGCGTGGCACCTCGTACTACTACGCTTCCCGTTCACCCCAGTTGACAAGCAAGTAGAAAATATGTCTATGCACATACATGGAGGAGATTTATAAAGACCTAAAAGCTATATCCTGCCAAATTAATTAAAATAACACGATATATTTACACAAACGCCTTTCTAGTAACCTCGGAATTTCTCAAATAGTTCTTTATACTTTTGTTGAGGAAATAAGAGGTGTTACTTTGTTTTTTATTATTACGACACGTTTCGGCGGATTTCGCCTTCTTCAGAGCCTGAAAAGATCAAGCTGACCGCAATCTATCCAACCAAACACCTCCATAACCAAACAGAGAAAACGCTAAGCCAAGATTTCAATCACATTGAACATAAAATAGCTTCTTTGCACACTCATCACTTTCTATGAGTCGTCAACTGAGCATGTCACATGGAGACCAACCGCACAGAGATCACACAGGAGCGTAATGTGCTTCTCACATTAAA